TTATATCCCATTGTCAAAATTTATCAAGTAATTAACTCTATCACTGGTAAAACTCTAGATTTACTGAAAAATGAGACCACACTTTCGAAAAACATCTGGATCCCATCTTCAGGTCTGGAGATGGAATCCAGGTAGATTTCGAAGCCGTTGTGTCATTATCAATATATCCAATTTGTGCATTGTGAGTTTAAATAGTGATAATGGAATATAACAACGTGATTTCTTGACTGATTATATTATGATGGCGTGATGACAATAAGGAAAGATGATGAATGATAGGGTTGTAATGTGATATGATAATGTAATACTTGATTATACCATAATATAAGTATGATTGATAATGAAGAAAATGTAAATGATAGCGATAAGTGAAAAAAAATAAGAACAATAATACGAAATCCTTTTCCGTCACAGAGGAGAGTTGAAAGGATAATATAATCATAAAATGTAAGCATAAATATCACAGATTTTTTTTATAAGAAATGTGATATACAAATAATGATTGCTCGATAAAAAAAAAGTTATTAATAGTTAATGAACACTACGTTTCAAGAAATGAATTCTAAATAAACAACAACAAAATATTGAAATAATAATTAAGGAAAATCGTAAATAAATAATGATTCCTGAGTTTTAAAAAAATAGATAAATAAATAAATAAATGAAAATCTAGGACCCGTTCGGCACTCTGTAATGAACGGCCGTGATGGGGAATACCTCACTAATGGAAGCTAATGGGCGATGCCACACGCCCATTCTCAGTCTGCCAAGTTCATTACGATAATCTGTCATTAGTTGGTCTGTCCCAGTGGCGTCCATTACAGGCTCGACCATCACAAAATCCTGATGGTCCGGACGCCAGGCTTTCCCATCGCCCTAATGACGGACTTTGATGCGATTTTTATGCGAGCGACAGAGCGCGTGCTCTCCGTGCCGCCCACGCACTCCTCGCTCAGTGCTAAGGCTTGGTTTCGCTCTGTAGCTGTCTGTCTGTCTATCTGTCTATCCGTCTATCTATCTCTATCTCTATCTCTGTCTGCCCCCTTCTCTCTCTCTTTCTCTCTCTCTCTCTCATTCTCTCTCTCTATCTATCTATCTACCTATCTATCTATCTATCTGTCTATTTATCTATCAATATGTATATCTATCAATCTCTTTCTCAATCTGTATTTAGCAATCGATTCATATTTATCCATATATCTATCTATTCACCTATATTTACCAGTCTATCCAACCATCCATCCATCCATCAACCTATCTCTATCTATTTATTTATCTATATTAATTTGTATCACTGTATTTATATCTATCTGTCTGTCTACACATCCATCCATTCATCTACCCTCCACACCCTCCCTCCCCCCTCCCCCTCCCTCCCTCTCCTACCGAAACCTCACCTGGTACCTGGCGCCCCTCCCTCCCCTTCGCCCCTTCCCTCCATCCCTCCCACCCTCCCCTCCCTTTCCCCATCTCCCATTCTTACCCTCCCCCCCCCTTCATCCCCCAATCCTCCCCTCCCCCCCTTCATCCCCCTCCCCCTGCCCTCTTCACCCCCTCTCTACACCCCTCCCCTTCCCTCTACCCTGCCCCCCCTATCCCCTCTCCCTCTCCCCTTCCCTCTTCCCTGCCCTCCCCATCCCCTCTCCCTCTCCCCTTCCCCTCCTCCCCCTTCCACCCCCTTCCCTCCCCCTCTCCACACCCCTCCCCTTCCCTCTACCCTACCCCCCGTATCCCCTCTCCCTCTCCCCTTCCCTTCCTCCCTCCTCCATCCCCTTCCCATCCGACCCCCCCCCCCTCCATATCACCTGTTGCCTCACCTGTGATAATGACCCTCCCTGCGGACGAGTCCCTGATCTCCCCGGTAAGCGTGTGGTTCGCCCGGCACCGGTAGCTCCTGTAACCGTCGCTCGGATCCGCCCGGTAGATGTGGAGTGACCCGTCGTGGAGAATCATGTACTTGCCTCCTGCGGGTGATGAAGTGGGGGGGGGGGGGTTAATTGGTGAAGTGGAGGTTGGTGTTGTGTGTGTGTGTGTTTTTTTTCTTCTGTTATTTGTTATTTGTACGTTTTGTATTTGTACGTGTAGTATTTTTTTTGTTCTAGTGTAATAATTGCTATTGTTATTGTCCTCATCAGTATTGTCATCATTATCATTATTACAGGAAACATTATTATTTTTATTCTCATCATTACTATATCCCTTATTATTAATACCATCATTATCATTACCAATAATACTATCAGCATTATAAGAACTTCTAGCTTTAGCATTATTATCATCACCATTATTATCATCACCATCATCATCATCACCATCACCATTATTATCATCACCATCCTCATCACCATCACCATTATTACCATCACCATCATCATCACCATCACCATTATTATCATCACTATCATCATCACCATCATCATCACCATCATCATCACCATCATCATCCCAATCATCCTCATCACCATCACCATTATTACCATCACCATCATCATCACCATCA